AGGCAATCTACAGGTAGAGCAGAGTCCATGGGTTTCGGCCGTGATCTCGTCTTTCTTTCCAGTAATCCTAGACTTTTGATTCAACTACTTTTCAACGGAACGCAGTTATTTCTCTTGCCAGATGCTTTCAATCAAAATCAAACATTCGCGGACAAAAATATAACTGAAATTCCGATAACTCCGTGTGGCGAGTCTTTGACAATGAGAAACAACAAAAAATGTTTGGAATGAAGGTGATAAGATATACAATATGGGAAAACAAAGACAAATGTGTTCCAGTGCCCGCCAAGTTCACAATCATTACGCTGTGTACGTTTTATTTCCAAACTTAATCGCTTTAACAAATTTTTTTGAGTACCTAAGTAGACCCAAACTGTTTCTAGTATCTACCATCGGCTCCCAGTTTGTGGAAGTTAGCTGCGGACTTTCCCTGATTATAAGGATGGACTTGTAAAACCTCCACGTTACAGCCGAAACTGGGAGCAGATCATATCTTCTGTTTAATCAAGAAGTAACCACATCCTAACACATAAATATGCAGTCTTGAAAACATTCCCATTGTGTCATGAAGAGCTGAAGATGGAAAAACCGTTAGATCGACCTCACGGAATATGATAAAGCTACAAGTGCCAAAAAATTTCTTCCCTCATAAAGATCAGCTAAGACTAGAAGTGTCTCATAACTAACTCCAGAAAATCGAAAATTTTGCCAATCTCGAGCAGGGGTTTCAGCGCAAAGATTTTATGCTCTAATTACGATTGGCACGATTCCATGCTATTAATCGTTGCGGGATTGCTGCCTATAACATTGAACGGGCGGCGGGGAGTACGGTGGCCCTTGCGAGTCAAAATCCGCTCACTGGCTGAAGCTTGCTAGTTTCTTCATTTCTTGAAAAATTCTAGGTTTGTTCGTAAAGTTGAGAATGAAAAGCCTTTTGAATTAGAACTTGGAAACAGCTGGCTGTTTGTCCTCTGTTAATTTGCTGTGTGAGGTCCTTTTTGAGGGTGCTTTGAGCAAAATCCTTAAGTTTGTACAGTTTACGAAATTGGTTGACTCAAGTCACTTTATTTTTCTTTTCGTGGGATATTCTTCTCATTTTTATTATAATTTTTAGGGGTACAAACGATGGCTTCGCGATCTTTAGCACAAGTGGGTCGCGTCGCTACGACCCGCTTGTTAAGATCTAACCTACAACGGATTGTTCTGCCAGCTACAGCCAGTGGTAAGTTTGTGTCTACCATTTATTGCTTTTCGAAATATCCTTCTAAGTAACCAAAAGTTTTGTCAAGCTTTTGTTACAATTTTCGGTGTCAAAATTTTTTTTTACATTTTCTGCTTATTTTGTCAACACCTTAGTCCCTTTTTTTAGTGCGTCAAAGTTCCACTACTACTGACAAGAAGGGCGTCCATACTTCTGTCGTTGCACAAGCACAACCGCAAACCCGAACTGACAAAGAAGTGAGCGCATTTTGTAGATCGCTCTAGATGTCCGGATCCTAATTTTTCCGTTCAAGGCACCGAAATCGTCAAGCTCTGGATCTAAGGGAAGGATTGTAGCAGTTATCGGTGCCGTCGTTGATGTACAATTCGATGAGAATCTGCCACCTATTCTTAACGGTCTTGAAGTTACAGGACGTAAACCTCGCCTCATTCTTGAAGTCTCACAACATCTTGGTATGTTTTTGTTGGCTCTGCCAGTCTACCAATTTTGTCCATCCGAGTTTTTTGCCCATTTTTGTGAAGTCTGGTAGATGTCGGGAAATATAGTGCCCTTACGGGGCCGAAAAAATGCGAAAAACTTTGGTCTAGAACAAATAGCTTCGCCTTTAAAGGCAGTGTCCAGAATTTTGTTTTCCGCTTTTTCACCTTTTTGGAGCCTTCTCGTCATATCGAATCATATCTGTGTTTTTCAGCGCATGAAAATGGCGAAAATGAGCTTTTTCGAAGCTTTTTAGGTCCGCAATCAGTGGAGAATACGTGTAATTGGGCGGGCCCGGAAGGGGGAAGCGGGGCGCGAAAGACTACTTGCGTATTTTTACTGATTGCGGATATGAAAAACCATGGAAAAAGCTCATTTTCGTTATTTTCATGAAGTGAAAAGCCCGGATATGGACTTTTCATGGCAGAAGGATCCGAAAAGGTGGAAACTGGAAAATGAGATTCTGCTGAGACACTGCTTTTAAAGCCGGAATTTCGCGCGCGCAGATCACCGGCATCATAGGCTAGCGTTTGTTCACGCGATTTTACCGCATCTTCTTGGCGCCCAAGAGCGCTATATTTACTGATTTGCTCGACACTTCGGCTTCCTGCATTTGATTTTACGAATTTTGTCTATTTTAGGAGACAGTGTTGTCCGATGCATTGCTATGGACGGAACTGAAGGTCTCGTTCGTGGACAAGAAGTCGTTGACACCGGAGATCCAATTAAGATCCCTGTCGGACCAGAAACCCTTGGCCGTATCATGAACGTTATTGGGGAGCCCATCGATGAACGAGGTCCCATCTCAGCTAAACACATGGCTCCTATCCACGCTGAAGCCCCAGAATTCGTCGAAATGTCTGTCGAGCAAGAGATTCTTGTGACTGGAATCAAGGTCGTAGATCTGCTCGCTCCCTACGCCAAGGGAGGAAAGATTGGACTTTTCGGTGGTGCCGGAGTAGGAAAAACTGTACTTATTATGGAGCTCATCAACAACGTCGCCAAAGCTCACGGAGGTTACTCTGTGTTCGCTGGTGTTGGAGAACGGACTCGTGAGGGTAACGATCTGTACCACGAGATGATTGAAGGAGGTGTCATCGATCTCAAGGTGAGCACTTTTATATCGTTTCCCTTCTTGTCCTTATGGGTACCAGTTTTTTCGTTAGTTGCTGTTGTACGGGTTTGAGCGATCATTCGAAAGATTGATGTAAAGTTGAATTTTGAAAACATTTCGATGACTCAAGAATGACAAAAATAGACAGCACTCGCATGTTAAGTTTTTTGCCGATGTTCGACTTTGCGGACGCCAAAATTGGAAATCTGCGAATTTTGTTTATAGGCAGTGTTCGCGCAGAGTTGGAGCTCCTCAGTTCCAGTAGTTTACTGATGCGGGCTCCTCATGCAGACCATAGCCCG